CTATTAAAGTATTTACATTAGCAAATGGTGGCCATACAGGACATAGCCCCAATTGATTACAGCTACAATAGCTTGCTTGGTGTTTCAATCTATGTGACACTGTTGAGGCAAGCATATGCATGCATGGGCTTGCTGGAACAAAGGTACTAAGCAAAAAATTATATTCACACAAGCAAATTTCAAAGTCATGCCACCTAGAGACATGAATTGGTCGAGCCATTTGAATTGGTCGAGCCATAATGAGGTTTAACAACATATTGTCATGATACATCCTCACCTTAATAAGCTCTAATCCTATTTGAGCTGCCACTCATTACCAAGCACTTGGAGGAGGGATACTTTATTAATTTATATTTGGCCAGGCAGGCACTAGAAATTAAATTAAAGTAATCTGGGATCACTATACCTTCCAATATGCATTATAGTTACACAAACCTTCTTTCCAGTTGGGCTAGCCTAGCTGCCTAGCCAAGACTCTTTTTTTCCATGCCTTAGATCTTGGATAACAGCTGGGCATTAAATAATACTCTATTCACATCAATCTATTGATGTAAATAACATTTCTTCATTTCCTTAGGGGGTACCCAAGCCAGCCGGATACCCGAGCTAGCTCGCTTTGCCAAGATCTAACGTCGCTATGTAATTTAAACTAATATTCATCTTGCATTTATATGGAACTTGGCTGGCCTGTCAAGGCAAGATCTTGAGAAGTAAAAAATATTATATTATACTATTTATAACAGTGATCTGTTTTGGCGAACCAGCCCGCCTCAAAAGTCTTTTGTAAACATGGGATGAAATCAACTCGGGTTACCTAGGCTGGCTCGCCTAGGAGATTAGAAAGTTTCAAAGTTAAAATTTATTTTGAAATCTCTCTGAGGGATAAAACCTTCAAAACTTTATTGTTGACAAAAATTTCAGGTAGACAATACCCAGGAAAATTGCCTATTCACATTGCAAGGCTAAAATTATGTACATAATTTCAATAATAAATAAAATAAACAACTTTACCAAGGACAAGTGAGTGTTTATGGATGACAAGAACAGTAGATTAGTTCCTGATTATTTACAAACATGTATTATTACCATTCGCACTTTAATATTGTGGAAACATATCTATATTTTTATTTATTTCTGTATATTTTCCTCAGAAGAATGATAAAAAATGGGTAATACCGCGCGCAACCCCCCTGCTAAGAGACTTGAACTAGTACAATAACTGTATATAACATGAAGTTTCCTGAACAAAATGGCGGAAATGTTAATAAAAAATGTTGATGTTTGATCGTAAAATACAAAAAAACTGCAGGTTTGTGCGAGTGACAACAAGTGAATTCGAACTCAGCGTATAAAAATCTATAGATTCATGTAAATTTAAAGTAGTGCCCGAAGGGGGGCAACAAAAATCGTTTTCTAAGCGACTTTTGGGGAGTCTAGCGGCTAAGGATAAAAATGTAATCGAGTTGTGCGTTTAATGATAAAAGCATGAAATTTTCCACGAATGTAGACCTATTGATACTTAATGATTTTAGATATAGAGGCATTGCTGGAAATTTCTGGGAAAGGAATAAATGGATTTATAAAAAATATGACCAGAAATGCTGAGTCAGCATTTTTAATTTTTTATGTAATTGCTATTTCACGAACAAGATTCTGGATTATGATAGACATATTACTCTATTACATGCGGTAGACAAATTACATACGATGCGAGGTGATATTAAATAATATTCAGTAGTCAATTTTTGATAAATTAATAATATTATATCAAAATAACTTGAATAATAGTTAAACTTAGCGATTATATAAGTATGGTCTTCTATCCTATAATAAAATATTATTTTTCACGTTTATAGTTAAGACTCTAATAAAATTCTATTGTTTTTGGTACTTTTGCTGTTTAAAACCAAATAATTTAAGACAAATAAATTATTTGGAGTGAGGTTATCCCTTAGAGGCCTGGGTTCTAGTATACAAACTGTCATGGCGGAGCTCAACTTACAGTGTTTTTAGAGACGACATTATCGATGTTTAAGGTAAGAATTGAAATAAGTAGTGGAGAATAATTTATTAGAAAAGACTGTAATTATTAGAAAAGATTGTAATTTCCTTTTAAGATATAATTTCCCCATGGCAAAATTACATAGAGTGGTAAGTCATTGTGAAGTATCAAGGGGAAAAAATGACTGTGAAAAGAGAGTTGATTGGGAAATGTGTATCCTCTGCAGAAAACCATCCATTGAACCTCTTGTTTGCCCAGCAAAATCGAAGCGAAAAGATACAGGAGCTGGTTATTTATCACTAGCCTCAAATTTATCGCAATTGCATGAGTTACAAGCAAATCCCTTTGGCTTTGATATAAATGAACTTGACGATGGTAGCGGGATCTTATCAACTTTGACCGTTAGTAAAGCTTGCTGGCACAAATCATGTCGAAACAAGGTCAACACTACAGAAGTTAAGAGGGCCGCTAAAAGAAAAGAAGACAATGAGGAAGACAATGACTCAATACAATCGGTGGCTAAAACGAGACGTTTAACAGAAGATAAATCAATATTCGAGAGTCTGTGTTTTTTCTGTGACAAACCTGGCGGCAACCTACACAGAGCATCGACCTTAGAGGTTGACACAAAGGTAAGAAAGTACGCCACCGAGCTCAATGACACTAGCCTACTTACGAAATTAGCTGCAGGTGATATGGTGGCAATTGATGCTATCTATCACACTAAGTGCATTGTTGCATTTTATAATCGCGTCAGGCGGAATTACAGTAAAACTAATGAAGAACAAGAGAACTCTAGGTTACACGCCATTGCTTTTGCTGAACTTGTGTTGTACATAGAGGAGTTCAGAGAAAACAAGGAAACATCTGCCGTATTTCCTCTGGCAGATTTATGCAAAATGTATTCCGCAATATTAGAGGATCTAGGAGCTGAACAGCACTCTAGAGTTCATGCAACGCGTCTTAAAGATAAACTTGAAGCAGAATTGCCTGACCTGATTTCTTTTAAACAGAATAATAATATACTCCTTACATTCAACAAAGATATGGGGGAGGCTGTATTGAAAGCTTGTGAGCATGACGATGATTCAGAGGCTTTACTTCTCGCCAGAGCATCGCGCATCATAAGGAGAGACATTTTTGCTCACAAAAATAGATTATTTAATGGGTCGTTTGGAACTAATTGTCAAGAAAGTAGTGTCCCTTCCTCCCTTAAAGCTATAGTATTGATGATTCTCGATGGACCACAAATAAAAACGGAATCAGTCGACAATATATCAACTACAGCGGCAAGCTTAGCCATTTCGCAGCTAATAAGCTTTAACTGTGTCAAGAACAGGAAGTCTACTAGTGAGAAATCTCAGCCTATTATGCGCCATAACAGGGAACATGAGAGCCCTGTTCCCCTGTACATAGGTTTGAAAATCCATGCAGAGACAAGAAGCAGGACCCTTATAGACACATTATTTCAGATGGGCCTTTCTATATCATACGATCGTGTGATGTCCATATCTACTGATGCTGCAAACAGTGTATGCCATCGTTTTGAACAGGACGGTTTAGTTTGCCCTCCAAAACTACGAAGAGATCTATTCTGTACCGCTGCTCTCGACAACATTGACCACAATCCTAGCGCAACTACAGCGAAAGACTCTTTCCATGGTACAGCAATATCAGTAGTGCAGCATATAACTGCTGAGAATCATGGTACGGAACGCGGGATCAATGTTATTTGTGAAGATATACCAAGGCAGAAGACGGTGAGAGAACTTCCAGATGCATACAGAAATGTTCCGCCAGCTGTTCTGAAATATAAAGGTCCGGTTGTCCCTAAGTTAATAGGGCCTGTAATGCCCCGAACACAAGATCAAGATGCAATTACCAGAAACATTAATTGGTTAGAGAATGTTAAATTACTTTACGGAAAAGACGAGCTTGACAAAGAGGAATTCGTTTCTTGGGCAGCTTTTCATGCTTCACTTCAACCCTCACCAGAACATCATATCGACATTGTCGCTCTTTTGCCCCTGTTGCTGGAGAACGCGCATTCCGTCGCCATGATATTACATGGCATGAATGTGGTTAACGATGTTGTGCAACATCTAAACCCCGGTCAAATACCAGTAATAGCAATGGATCAACCACTTTTTGCGATAGCAAAACAGATACAGTGGAACAATTCCAATACACATGGAGAAGATCATTACGTGGTCATGTTTGGTGGTTTGCACATAGAAATGGCAGTAATGAAATGCATAGGAGAGTGGTTGAATGGGAGTGGTTGGGTAACTGCACTAGTTAACGCCGGAATAGCAAGTGTTGGCACGGCAGAGTCATTTCTGAAAGTAAGTCATGTGGCACGAACTAGACATGCGCACGAGGTTACCGCAGCAGCCATGTATGTCTTGCAACAAACGGCTTTCGAAGAGTACAAAGAATCGGTTCAAGAGTCTGAGCAGCCCTTAGACTTCACTGCATGGTGTAACAAGATGAAATCAAATCAACCACAGTTCTGTTTCTGGTCACAGGTGTTGAAGTTAGAGTTATTAGTGCTCGAGATAGTAAAAACGATACGGGACGGAGACTTTGATCAGTACGTGCAATCACTTGCCAGCATCATGCCGTGGATGTTTGCACTTGATCGTGTGAACTATGCGCGTTGGCTGTCAGTTCACGTTCGAGACATGTCATCACTGTCACTAACACATCCAAGTGTCTATCAACAGTTTACGTCTGGCGCATTTGTAGTCAACAAATCAGCTCGAGCATTTTCTTCCATTGCTCTTGACCATGCACATGAACAGGCGAATGCATCTATAAAGGGTGATGGAGGTGCAGTGGGGCTCACAGAGAACCCACACGCTTTACGGCGTTGGATGATTGGCGGCCCCGAGCTCGCAAGAATGGTAAACGAGTATGAAGACCAGTCTTTACTTAAGAAGAAGGAGACTAAGAAGCATCATGACCAAATGCCATCAGTTCGAAAAGCCTTCGTAAAGGAAGTTAAAGATCTATTTGACGCAGTTGAAGAACTAGGAAATCCCTTCCAAGAAGACAGCGGTGACTTACTCGTGCTGGATACAAAGGACATCATGCCCAAAGAAGTGGTTGATTCCGTGAAGAGCATTGAAGAAATAGGTTGCGATCAATATACAACGTTTGTAAAAGAGAGGTTTGTAGACCAGAAGAAACCAATCACTGACCCGATCAAGATGAATAAACTTCCGATGTTTAGCCGCCCACCAACCAAAGTCCCTTCCAAACAAAAGGCTCAACTTACAGCATTAAAAGAAGACTGTGCACTGTTTTCAAGGCTATATATCGCGTGCCAATCTCGAGAAGGTGATCTCCAGGACTTTTTCAAACACGAAAACCAACCCAGTCCACCTTCGTTATCGCAACAAGGACAACTTCGGCAAGGCAATAAAGCTGATCTGGTCAAGTGCCTCACAGACCGTATTGACGTTGTCGAGTGTCCGCAAGTAGATGCGAAAGTTATCGATGGCGCTGTTGTTGTGCAAATGCTGAATCCCAAAACTGCATCTACATTCGGAGAGTATGTCGCAACTGTTTTCATACCGTATGTCACCTCGCAACTTCAATCAGCCCAACGAATAGATATTATATGGGACACATACACAGACGACAGCTTAAAGAGTTGTACAAGAGACAGGAGAGGTTCTGGGGCGCGGCGTCGTGTGGCGCTTTCTGTAAAGATCCCTCCTAACTGGAAGAGCTTTCTACGTGTCAACGAGAACAAAACCGAACTCTTCCGACTCCTCGCAGAAGAGGTCATAGCTATACATGCACAAGGCAAAGAGGTGTACAGTACGTATGGTAACGACGTCCTGAGCAACACTGATAGAACGACTATGGATGGCCTACAACCATGCAATCACGAAGAAGCAGATTCTCGGATTTTTCTGCATGTCCATGATGCAGCCCTACAGCACCATCGTGTATTGATACGATCAGTAGATACAGATGTGTTCGTTCTAGCCGTCGCCCAGATGCAGAGAATCCCCGACAAGGAACTTTGGCTTGCATTTGGAACTGGAAAGCAGTTTCGGTATCTTCCCATGCATGATACTGCCCGATCACTTGGTCCGGAGAGAAGCTTGGCTTTACCTGTATTTCATGTACTTACAGGTTGCGATACCGTTTCATTCTTTGGCGGCAAAAGCAAGAAAAGTGCGTGGGACACCTGGAATTCGTTTCCAGAAGTTACACATTCATTTTTGGAGATCGCAACCGCACCGGATAAGCTATCTAATAAGTGTACACAAACCATAGAGCGATTCGTGGTATTATTGTATGACCGCGGCAGCCAGCTCAGTTCCGTCGATGATGCACGACAGCAGCTGTTCTGCAAACGTTCTCGAAGCCTTGATCGCATTCCTCCTACGTCTGCCGCTCTTAGGCAACACATCCTGCGTGCAGCGTATCAAGGCGGTCATGTGTGGAGTCAGGTTCATATAGCATTACCTCAACTACCAAATCCATCGGAGTGGGGATGGAAGAAGGACGAGCTTTGGAGACCTGTGTGGACGACCCTTCCCCAAGCGCAGCAAAGCTGCTATGAACTGATACACTGTTCCTGCAAGAAGGCCTGCAGAGGGTTGTGTAAGTGCACCCGATCCAGTTTGCAGTGTACGGCGTTGTGCTCTTGTGGTGGAAACTGCTTCAGCTAAGAGGTATGAAAACACGTCGTTTTCGTTGACATGTAACATCGCTACTACTTCTGGTTTATAGAACCTAAAATCTGTGCATAATTCATTGAAACTAAGCAAATGTAAATTCTATATGCAATCATACTGTACGTTGAGCATCTTACAAATTATTTTCGAATATAATTAACTTGATTATTCAATGAATTGAATGTCGTGTAAAATTAGGACATGAACAAACGTTATATTTCGCCAATATTTATGAACTAGTTAAAATGTGAGCAGCTGATCTTTTTGGGCATTTACAGGTCTAATTCCACGACGGCGAAATTCTTCGCGCGAAATTCTATCTGCGAAATATGGATGGTTGCACATGGGTGATTCTATTGAATTTTGCCACTTTAAATATATTCGCTTTCGCAGTGGGTAGAACTGACTTCTACTCACTGCCGAGAAATCTCTCGAGAAATTACTGCGCATGCACCTGATTCATTTCACGCGAAATTTTTTGCATTTCGCCAGTGAAAAACGGTCGTGGAATCAGACTTCTAAATGCCCAGAAAGATCAGTTGCGAAAATTAACGTACTTGTAAAATGAATTTGTTTGTTTACTTTATTAGCATTCACTGTCCATGGGGGCAATCTCACGCTTCATTAACATGCAATTAAAACCAGAATTCGTATTCTCAATTGATATTGTTAACTTTCGTAAACGTTCCTCTAACATGACTTTCTGATATTTAATGCTGTTTACAACAAGTGTGCCCATGAGACCTAAATTGTTTGTGGCCTTATTAATTATTCTCATGAATTTTGCCAGTTACCTAAAAATAAAATTTGACTACTGATTGTTCTTCTAATATCACTTCTCATTGTATGTACTTGTCTATCGCAGATAATAGAGTCATATGTCCATCGTACGCCCGAGTCTTCTTCACAAAATAGCACTTATACGAAAAAATAAAAACTGCTGACTCAGCATTTTTAGTCATTTTCTTTTAAATCCATTTATTCCTTTCCCAGAAATTTCCAGCAATGCCTCTATATCTAAAAACATTAAGTATCGATAGGTCTACCTTTGTGGAAAATTTCATGCTTTTATCATTAAACGCACATTCTCTTTCCTTAGCCGCTAGACTATACGGCCTACAACACTGCTTTTCAAATTGAGTGCTTGCGGCGCGCGACAAATGACAAAGGAATGGGGCGAGCTTAATGCAAATTGACATTTGGAAGCATTATTGGTGCATTCTACACACAGTTTTGGGCTGCCTATGTTCATATACGCAAAGCCAAAGGTCGTCGGGTGTTAAAGCCATTATAAAATCAATATTTAAAACAAACTTACCTTCGTTAACGTCGGATCCTTCTTTTAGCCGATTCTTTCTTTCTTTCTTTCTTTCTTTCTTTCTTTCTTTCTTTCTGAGAAAGCTTTTGAAATTTACAAAATTTTGCAAAAATGCGTGCAAAAAATATATATTTCCAAGAAAGTTATCAATCATCAAATCAAGAAATGTTTGCTATTTCGCTGTCGTCATGCAGTCGTTATAATGCAAACTTTAAATTGAACCAATCAGTGTCCGCTATTCATGACAGTCCGCCATATTATTGAGATCAGTGAGGATGGCCGCCCACCCAACACCCCCAACACCGTTGGTCACCCACGCCCGCGATAACTGACGAACTTTAGACTTCGCTAATGCTTTCGTTTCCCCGGGGGTAAATAGCCGTGGGGAATTAGTACCCTCGCACGGCGCTTCGCGCCGTCGGCTCGGGGATAAAGAAAGCTGAATAATGTCAAATATTTAGCACCTGAACGCTGACTTTATCATTTTGAAGTCCTTTTCGACAATCGGCCCCCTCTGCTCTACCTTGTACATCATATCTTGCCACGAATGGTAAACATTTAAATTGAACAGAATATTAAACTCAAAGTGGCATCTTAACATTCACCTTATCATCTGCTATGGACGGTAGATTATGGCAATAGCTCTTCTGCACCAAAGTGCAGACGAGATAAACATTGAAAACCTACTACTCCCACCTTATAGTCAAAGACATATCCTGTTGAAACTCAGGATACTGTGCCACACAGATACACATAATTGAAACACGCAACGTTTGGTATATGCATAGAAGTTGCACATAGAAAATTGAGCCGTTAAAGTATGAATGCTGGTGGGAAATTGAAGACTCGATCTTGGCATGAAATTAAACTAACGTGGATTTAAACCTCATGAAGTATCAATAACAGATTCACAATTACTAGTATCTACAAAGTCTTCAGGCTAAAACGAACCATATTACGAAAATAACTAGTAAATTAGATTTTTTGGTTTTAGATTTGTAATACAAAGTATCAATTTTTAGAAGACAAATATACTTCACCTTCACAATTAAATCCATCGCCACTGAAGCCTTCATAACATGTACAGTTGTGACCTCCTCTTGTATTTGTACATGTTGCGTTGCCATCACATTCATACGTATCACGATCGCACTCATTAATATCTACAATATTTCAATGTACATTAATGCGAGTTTCTCACAATCTCATACAGCTAATAGTAGCATAGAGCAAGGGGTTCTACGACGGGCGGTGCGGGCAGTGCACTTAGCACCGTCGATGGCGTCATCATTTCTTAATTCATTTAATTTATTCAAGCTTATGTTAATTTATTTTAGCTTAAAAGGAGGAAAAAGGGGGTTAGGTATTGGGAAAAGGTACTGCTTTTAGAGCAAACTATCGTTGCTACGGACCCCGCTCTTGCTGAATGCATACATAACTTAACGGACATGGATTAACGTTTTGTACAATTTATTTGTCTCTAAAATGTTGATGTGAGAGGTCAATGTGGCGTTGATGTATAGGGTCGATGTGAGGTCGATGGACGGTTGATTCTCTGGAGGTTCTGTTGGGCTTCCCTAGGGGTTCCCTGGGGTTCTCTGCTTGTAAACACAAGTACGTACGGGACTTCTGAGCAGATCAGCACCTGTCTGCTCAAAACAACTTCTACACATTGAGTGCTAAAAGAATGAGCTGGTTGCAATCTAAGAAGACACGAAAAGGAATACGGTCTCAAACAGGCTCGGATAGCGCGGAAAGGGATTTCAAAGTCGACGTTTCGACAACTTCTACTCAAGGGTATAAAATTTCGACAGATGAGTCAGAAACTGAAGAAGAAATGGATCCTTGTATACCGTTGATGGAAGAAGCAAAGCAGAAAAGGAATATAAGTTTGCAGAAATGAGAGAGAGCCTTTTCAACAGTGGGCCGCTAAGAACAATGCATGCTCTAATATTCTGCCTGAACTCCAGAAAGAACTGGAAAATATTTATATGGAGTGTTTCGTATGGGTGAGACAACTAAAGAAAGATCCAGTACATAAGAACATTATGCAGAAAAAGGATGCGCTTGTGAAAATCGATGACCTCGATCCAGAGGAAGCTATGGAAGCTGCTTTGATACGAGGAAATTTCTTATAAAAAGGCCTTTAATTAAAGGAATTGTGTTGAAGATAACAATGATGCTGATTAGACTAGAACAGTCTTAAGACACAGCTTGTAAACGTTGAGTAATTAAATAAATTGCCTTTCAATCATCTGTTTTTTCTCGTCGTTATTACATGGGTCGATCGGATACAGAATGAAATGGCAAAAACGTGCGCGCGAAAATGCATACATATGTGTACTAATCAATTTTCTGCAGCGGTTTCCACGAACAAAGATTGTTCACCCTGTCTTCAGGCCATCGGGCCTAAACGCGCCTGATGAGCAGATGAACATGTGCTCATGAGCAGACATGGTTTTGAAAATCTAATAAAATCTATACGCAGTAGTTTGGGTTTAAACCGGCCTTATGAGCTGCAGATAACTGCTCATGAGCACATGCTCATCTGTTCATGAGCCCCCTTAAGCCCGATGGCCCGAAGACAGGGTGTACATTCTTCGTTCGTGGAAGCCGCAGCAGAAAATTGATTAGTACACATATGTATACATTTTCGCTCGTTTTTGCCATTTCATTCTGTACCCGATCAACCCATGTAAGAATGACAAAAAAATACAGGTAATCGAAAAGCAATTTATTTAATGACTCGAACTTTACATGCTATGTCTTAATACTGGTATGTTTTTACATGCTAATACTGTTTGAATACGTATACATGACTTTAATCCTATTAATCTAGTCTAATCATCGTCATTGCTCTCTTCAGCAAATTATTATTCCTTTAAAATTCTTTTTATAATAAATTTCCTCTTATCAATAACAGCTTCCATAGCTTCCTCTGGATCAAGGTCATCGTTTTTCACAAGCGCATCCTTTGTCTGCATAATTTTCTTATGTACTGGACCTTTGTTTAGTTGTCTCATTCACACGAGACGCTCCATATAAATATTTTCTAGTTCGTTCTGGAGTTCAGTCAGAATATTAGAGCAACCATTGTAATTAGCGGATTGTTCATCTAGACCACTTTGGTATTACTTCTTTGCTTTGCTTCTTCTATCAACGGATATTTATACTCTGAGCGCGTCAGCACGGTCCCGGGCAATAGCCTGGCCCAGGATACTAATTGCGCTTCGCTATATACACCCGGGTATATAAGAACATATAGCGAAGTGCAAAGTTATATTCATTCATGACATGGATGATTTTGACATGAAAAGCATGCATGAGTACAGGTTGCTACTCAACAAAACAGATTTTCATTTCGAAAATGGGACAGGGTTTGGTTAATGCCCTTATTTCAAAGTTTTTCTAGTAACATCATAATCTGCAATTTACTAAACAGCCACTGAAGACTTAAATTTGTCAATACGGAGCAATCATATTTTGACAATCTACAGTGCATGGAATACGGAGCAATCATATATTGACAATCTACATGGAAACCATTCACTGCATGTAAAGTCCCTCTTTAAATCACTTTTTCTTATTATCACTTTCTTTACTGTAAATATACATATATAGTATCCTCCACTTCGAATATATATAATTAAGTTTATATGCATGTTAATGTTTTATTTTATACTTGTTATATACGCTTTTATCTTTGTTCAATCTAATATATTATTCGAACTGACTAAATAGAATGAAATAATGTAAGTATAGTCTACAGGGGTCTTAATTATTTAAAAAGCCTAGTAGGTTTCTAGAAGGCTCCTAGCCTATCCAAAACAATAGAAAAATAAATGTAAATAACTTGATATTTTTTACGAGCGTAATAAAAATTTAAAAAAAAAACATTAAAAAAAAACTAGATAGATTACTTACAACCTGGAAGAACACCACTGAATAACTGGCATTGTACGTTGATCAAAGCATATATTTTGACATCAAAGCATGTATTGTGAAAAGGTCCTTAGTTATGATATTTTGAAGCCTTTTTTAAACAAAAAAACGTTCTAAATACCTGTACAGTTCTTTCCATCTCCAGTGAAACCTCCGTAACATTCACAACTGTATGATCCATAAGTATTGTCACATGTCGCATTGTCATGACAGAAACCTCCAACCATACATTCATTAATGTCTTAGAACATCAAAAAACACCCATAAAAATTTTACTGTGAAATTTACACTATCGCGGTGCCATAAGTCTGCTTCTACGAACAGGCAAATATACAAAGGGTTATGCACGAGGGTTACTATAATTATTCGGATATTTCTGCCAGAACAAAACATTCATCACAAAGGTTGCAATATTTATATGATAGTTTCTTGAATAAATGAGAAAACCGAGAACTTACAATAAGGAAATCTCAAGAAACCGTTTCATGGGCTGCTCATTTCAAACCACTTTTATAAATCAGTTTATTTATGGAGAACTACCTGTAGTATAAACTAAGTTAGTTTAGTTTAAAAAAAACGGTAATAATAGCATTGCAGACATAATGGTGTACGGAAGGATAAAACTTCACACCCAATTTAAATGTGATTTGAAGAAGTTATATTTATAAATATACCGTCAATACCTTCACAATATGTGCCATTGCCAGTGAGACCATCTGGACAGTTGCATTCATATGATCCAGGAATATCATTACATGTGGCATTCACGTGACACGGAGACTCGTCATCACAGTCAATGATATCTAAAACAAAACAAAAAGTAAATTTTGATAATAGTTATTTACAACACCGATTTGGATTTTTTTCTCTTACATAATTTATATACAAACAAAAGTAGATGTTTTAAATTGAACTCTTATTTTACAACTCTATAGCAGTTATAATCAGTCTATTCAAGGCTCTGCCTCACAACATGGACTAGAAATCGTAACAGTTCACAATTTTCATAATTGTAAATATTAAGTATAAAAAGCGATTAGCCGAACAAGTAGTAAGCTGGGATAACATTCGAGAAGGTTTACTGCAACAATGTAAGAAGAAATTCTAATCATTTCGTTAGGAGGTTGTTGTTTGTTGTTTGTTGTTCTTGATTCTCTGCCAGCGGCACAACTCAAAACGGTTTAGAAAACAAAATGTGTGGAGGTAATGGCCACGCGCTAAGGATAAATTCACCACATTTTGATGAATTTAGATGAACATTAAATGAGACATTTATCGCTATCATTGGTGAAGGATATCAGTTTCACAATGCATCCTTGTCGTTGTCCTATTTCAGGCTGCTACTTTTATTGGCAGAGGATTTGAGTGTCTCTGCAGAATGCTGTCTATAGTTAATGAACTTTAGGAACTCTACTGTGCTGTGTTTTTAAGTGTTTACCTTGACAGATGGTTCCATTACGAAAATATCCTTCGATGCACATGCATTCAAAGCTACTAGGCGTGTTTGAACACGTGGACAGCATTTCTGGGCAGTATGTTCCCACACAACATTCATCGTAATCTGAAAAGACAAGAAAAGAATGAAAACCTTCGCAATACCACAGTTAATGTACCTGCATGGTCAGAAAATTTGTAAAGCTTCTTGGTCCTTAGCTTATTGTTATATTTAATGGAGACGGATAATGGTTGAAAAAAGCTATATTGTTGCTGGCGCATTTTGTGTATTTAAAGTGGTGATGCGCAGGTAGCTTGAAGTGCTCGTTGTTCATCAGTGTGTTGATCAACAGGCCCACAATTGCCAATGTAGGCGAGACACAGGGCAACCTTAATCCATTAGTATTCAAATATTTTCGTGCACTAATTGGAACGGCAGCTAGCTACTCACCAAATGCTACGATTAATCTTTGTGGTCCATCATTGATATTGAAAACATTTATTTTTACCCATGTCCGTTTGTTATATTTGTCAATTCTATTATTTTCTTTGTCCAACACGTACAGATGCATGTAGTCTTGCGCCAGATCAATTTCTCCATCATAACTGATATTAAGAGCCACTGTTTGACCAGTGTAAGATGATCTTGTCAGATTGTATTTTTCTGTAGAAACGACGAAATTGACCCAGTACACGACCTCATTATCTTGATCAAAAGACAATGCTTGAGCGGAACCATCAAAATTTATTCTTTGCGTCTCAAATGATGTAATATCAAGTCTAACAATAGGAGGTTCGGATGATTTTGCAATCACTAGGTATCTATAAATATTTCAAAATAAAGGAATAAAGCCAATGTGCCAAGAAACTTCTCTAAAGCATTCGTTAATACAGTATGTAGAACGTTTCGTATGTGCAGACAACATTTTCAAATTCAAGCACTTTCCTCACGTACAGTATGGTCTAAATGACAAATAATCTCAGCTTCATGCAGGAAAATACGCTAAAAAACATAACCTTGTCATTAATAAACCTGGTGTGGTGATAATGGGCGTAATAATTGCATGTGTACTATGTATTTTGTACAATTTTCTGTTTGCAGTTCGATAAAATACTGGTTGTTTCTAAAGCTGCGAATTGAGAAAGATGCAAGTACTTAAAAAATAGATTGAAGCAGAACTTCATCGTTTTAAGCGAAGGCTCTTCGTTGGAGAATCCTATCTACTGTTATCCTGAGTGTTTCTTTTCCATAAAAAGGATTACTACACTGTATTATGTAATTGACATATACAATCCAGAATCGCATTTGTGATAGCATAAAAACCCAATCTATGGATTAAAGCGTATAGCCTGTTTCTACTTTCTTTATTGAATACTGAAAACGGTCAAGTGATCATGAAGTGTCCTCTATAAACCGGACACATCTCTAAGGCCAGTTCTCCACTTCGACCGTATAGTAATGTAACGTAACGTATCGTAGCATTTTCTTTTCTGTCGAAGTTATTAGCGTAGTGTTCCACTCTGGTTCTCAGGAAACAAAGAAACACGCTACGCTTGGCTACGATTTAATTTTGTGGGTCCGTATTACGGCGCTTCAAATCTATATAGCAAATAAATATACAAATAGTGGACAATTACCGATTTTTTGTGTCCATCTCCACGCCTCTTATACCAGAAAGAGAATCCAAAGCTTGAACTGGGGCATCTTCTCCACTGCTGATATTGACTGAGTTAATTTTTAATGTTCTACTATTCAGGTAGTATAGAACACCACGTTCACCGTCATATGCAAACTCTGCAATATTTGCTTTATTGATTAGAACTGTCGAATTCAAACCATTCAAACCAACACTGTATAGGTTCTCAGTATCATCATAATACAACAATCTTCGGTTGTATTTGTCATATCCTAATATATTATTATCTGCAGTAGGAATGCTAACTGAGGAATTTGAGATGATCTCTGATGACGTAGAATAGAATAATATTTCATCTTCACAGGTTTCTAAAAAAAAACACGATATATAACCAAGTGGTTAGCGCACTTGCCTTTCACCTCTAAGGTCGCCGGTTCGAATCTCAGTGAGAACTTCTCAATGTGACTCAAACCCAGTCCTCATGTGAAAAAAGTAAAAAGTGAACGCTCTACCGAAAGTCGTGGGTTTTCTCTGGGCACTCCGTGTTTCCTCCCACAGGGAAAGTTGACAGGGTGGGTTAGGCACATAGGTCTGGAGGCAGAATATTAATGAGGTATGGACTAATAGCGGCAGCTACTCAAGCGCCATTTGTAAGCTCAAAGTCTACCTCGGTCTGCTTCACGTCAGTCCGGTTCTATCTATCTATTCATAATGTAACCAGTCACTGAAAAGCCCTGATATAGGGAGTGTGCTGTGAAATATCTGTATCTCTGTATAAATCATGTATATTTAAAATAGTGTGTATCATTAAATTCTCGTCATTTAATTGGTTCTTAAACTTTTTTAAACACGTGATATGGATAGGAAACACCATTTTGTAATAACGTTTTGCTAAGGGTCTCTAGACGGAAATTTCATGTATATAGTATCGAACCTGTGGCTGGGTGATGCCGCTGCAGCCCTACGGTATATAACAAACTGAGCCCAATTGTCGATCTCTAACCGCAAGTTCGTGAATATCGCTATACTAAAGGTATATGGGTAGATGTTAGGATTTTTTTGACATCTCACTGGATTGAACTTAAGTTGAAAGGTTTGTTGATGGAAAAATCATCTACAAGACCCTTGAACTTAGATGCATCGACTGAGGTGCCAAAAAATATGATATTTACATGTACATACTATATGCTCGTCCTTCGATATTAAAATTCTAGAGAACATCATGCCACATGTTGTTTCATTACCTGTGCAGTTAAGTCCATTTCCAACAAAGCCAGATATACAAGTGCAATAAAATGACCCCTGAGAGTTTACGCAGTCTGCATTTGGATCACAGGAACCACGATCGCATTCGTTGATATCTAGTAAAGTATGCAAACAAAAAATTAAAATCTGAGACCTGAAATAGTGCATGTTCGTTACACCTCAGTAACATGGGTTCGATTACTACAACAAACAACATCCCACTGATGACACAATAATTTATGAAACGAGTTTACCGTTTGATCTAACGACCCACCAGTGATATTACTGAACGGTAAAAGAGTATAGCTCACTAGATCTTTTTTCTGGAGCTACGGAAAGCAGTTTATTCAATAGCGGTATCAGTCGGCTTCAGCAAGCGTGATGGTGGACCATATCGAGGCGAATTTCAAAAGTTTCAACGATAATGGGAATATGGGATCATAAGAATTATACTAAATGTTGCGGATTTGTATTTAGTTTCACTCAACACAAAACATATGTAGAATGTTAGTTATCAATAACATCCCCATTTAGGATTACTAACTGGATTTTGAAATTCGTTTACACGTGTTAATAACAACAACATCCCCCATCTAGGATTACAATCTGGACTTTAGAAATTCGTTTACAGATAGTTTACTTCAGCCTTCTTGAAATTTAATCAAAATTTCATAATTGGATCACTTTGTGCAAATGACAATTCGGCATCGAATAAATTAAGTTGGTTAAAATGGGAAAAAATATAAAGTAGGTGATAAGTTTTAGAAGTTCGTAGAAAACTTAAAAAAAATTATTTGATACCGCGCGCAGATGAGAAATTTCTCATACAAAGCAAAGATCAGGAAGCATTCAGTTACGTTATAGACAGATTGTTCTGGAAAAATATGTTGATCACTTAATTTTCCTATTACTAAAAACCATTATGCTGCATGATTGTACTAACTAACCACAATTTCAATTCAATTTCGACAAACATGGCGTTTTGAGTACTCAATGTTTTAACGTGTGCATATACTAAGATAACATTGAGAACATTCTGACTACTGAATGATTGTTTCTCTCTAAACTGTTCGAATTGACAAGTAATAATATTATTATTTTAACATACTTACCTAGGCAATCATCTCCACTTGGCTCAAAGCCTTCATTACAAGTACAGACGAAGCTTCCAGGTGTGTCCGAACACGTAGCATTCATGTGACATGTGTTATTGGAGCAACATTCATCAATATCTGCATTTTAAAATTAAAATTCGAAAATGCATTTTTCAAAAAGGTTTATGGTTTTCATGTATGGCGGACAGGTATCGGAAATACAGACGTTTGGTCCATAAAACATTAATTTTGTCGCACTGTAGATTAGTTGACATTATTAAACGACATTATTACATCATTTAACGACCAAAGCATTTTCTTCGCTCGCAATAAGTGACTTGGTGGTATTCATAAGGTATTCGTATTGTATGGTATAGGTATGTTTCAAGATTTTGTTGCTGGTGTACAAGGCTCTTCATGCTAATGCACCGCCTTATATTTCAGACCTTCTGACACCTAAGCATATTTGTTGCTATAGCCTGCGCTCGAATGAGCAAAATTTGCTAATAGTTCCTAAGACAATGAGGAAAACGTTTGGCGACAGAGCTTTTGCCAAGGCTGGTCCTTTTTTGTGGAATGAACTTCCTGCTGACATTCGTGAGGCCTCAACAGTGGAAACTTTTAAAAACAGACTTAAGACCTTTCTTTTCTAAAAAGGCATTTTATCTTTAAATATAATTGTAAATTTTAAACATGTATATATAGGTATCATCTCATATTTTATAACATTTTATTTGAATTTGTAATGATAGCGCTTTAGAATATTTATAGTGTTTAGCGCTTTATAAATTAATAAATTATTATTATTTATTATTATATTATTGTATTTCTGTGATTTACTTACCCAATACCAGGATCAACTCATTGACATTAGGTATTACATGTAATTCCCAGAGTTTCATTAATGTTCTTCTGGAATAAATATCAATTCGGTTGTTGTCTTTATCCAATACATAAATATATAATCGGTCTACCACTACACAAATTTCTCCAATGTACCAGATCCCTAGATTTCTTGTTACTCCTTCTTTAGATGTGCATAGAATTATAAAGCTGGTAGTGAAGGGATTGTAGATGACCCAGTATATAGTCCCATCTTCAAACACATAGAGTGATTGCCCAAAACCACCATCATAAGTGATAACACGAACTGATGAACTTTCACCAAGGTCATACAGAACAATTGATAAATTGGATGCAGTTACGATAACAAGACAGCTGAAAAAAGGTAAATAGCTCAGTAAAGAATACTCTTTGTGTATCGAGATGTTTAACCTGTTTAAGATATATATATATATATATATATATATATATATATATATATATATATATATATATATATATATATATATATATATATATATATATATATATATATATATATATATATATATATATATATATATATATATATATATTTACCGGTTGGGAGGTCCGTTATTTACCGGTTGGGAGGTCCGTAATTCAAATACGGACCGACCCGAAAGGTAAATAACGTATATATTTTT